TGTTAGGTTTGTGAAATAATCCTCCTAACTAATACCTTTTGATCCGACTGCGCACGTGAAAATCACATTCATCCAGAGCAAGATGCCCATGATGGCAAAAACCCCTTTCATCTTTTTTTTTGATAATTTTAAAATTAATTTAACAAGGGATTATTAAATTTATTAATTATTAGTTTAGTTTCATTTATTTTCTAGTCAGAGTGATGTTTTAAAAAGTGTAGTTTGCTCTTTTTTACATTCATCTAACACAACCCCTAGTTGAAAGAATTGGAAACCTCTGGGTTTCTGAGGCACGCCAAACTTAAGGGCTTGTTTGGATTGAGGGTAACAGGGGTGAGGGGAAGGGAGGGTAACTTTTAATATTGTTTAGGAAGTAAGGGTGTGTTTGGATTTTAATGGGGTTAAGGGAAGTTAAGAGAAGCTAGGTGAGAGAATGGAAGGGAAGGGAAGGCAGTTCCCTTCCCCTTGGTTACACCCCAATTTGGGGGGTAACAAATTTTATACTATTAGGGGGTGAACCAAGGGGAACTAGGGTGAATAACTTCACCTTCTAAATGTTCCCAAACAAGGTGAATGGTTCCCCTAACTTCCCTTCACCCTTATTCCCCTCAATCCAAACAAGCCCAATGTTCTGAACTCCATGAACATCTTTTACATATTTTAAATAGGGGGCTGTCTCAGAATCATTCAAACTTCAAAGGGGCTTTTGTGAAATTTACCTTACTCTAAACCTTTGAACTTGAAAAACTCAACTTTAGATTATTAACCTTTTCCCTCCTCTTGTCACAGGGATGGTAGACTACCTGATTTCTTACAGTTGCCTCACGATGACGATAATGAACCATCAGACCCTGTCGTGATGTGCACTCAACATATGTGCCCGATACGAGTACACTGGCACTTGAAAACTAACTATAAAGAGTATTGGAGGGTTAAAGTGACAATCACCAACTTCAACTTAGTTAAGAACTATAGTGATTGGAATTTGGTGATACAACATCCAAATCTGAAGAGCTTAGTGCAGGTTTTCAGCTTTAACTACAAGCCTCTGATCGAGTATGGCAATATCAGTGAGTGCTCATTTTTCCTCATGCTTTTAAGTTCCAAATACTAAGATCATTATTTTTTTCTGGCTGAGTTGTTCATTGCTGAAATGTATTGAAAGAAAAGAATCGATAGATATTTGGTGTTACCTTAGACATTTAGAAAAGTCTGTCCCAATTTCACTTCACATGTAAATTAATTTTGATTTTTCTTTGGATTAAATGAGTCATGTAGACTTCAGAGAATATGACAGCTTTCTCTTAAAGATTACAATACAATACATTTTTTTATGACATACTCTATAAATTTAAAAATAGGATGCTTAGAAGAAAATGAACATTGTGCTAATCAAAATAACTGTCGACGTTTAATAGTTCAAACTCTAAAACTCACCTAATTGCTTATTCTTTTTGAACTTCATGCGTAATTGACAAGCCTTTTGTACACGTGCGCACATTTGTTTTTTTGTTGCAGTGCATTTCATGTACAGGACATGTCTAATGATAATTCATCTAATATGACATTCATCAAGTCATGGCTGATATTTGCATTATTGTTTCGATACTGTAAAATCAAATTACGAAACCGTCTTGCTATTCACATCTCTGAAATCATCTGATCTCTTTTTCCTCAAGGAAAGGCCTGAGCTTTAGTTTATCTCCAGTACATAAAACTGACATTTACAAAACTCGAAATGCACAAGGAGGGAGGTGCGGAACAAAACTCGAAATTTGCATAAGGCCTTCTAATACCGTGTAACAGCTGGAAGCTGATCAAGCCATAACTCCACTAAACATGAAGCTCTACCCCTGATATTTTCTTCAGTCTGACTCTTTACGTTGGAAACGTGAGATATCTGATCTCACTCTTCCGTCCTTTTTCAGATGACACAGGAATGTTCTGGGGAATCAAATACTACAACGAGATGCTGCTACAAGAGGGTGAATTCGGCAACGTGCAGTCTGAGATGCTACTGCACAAAGATCCGGGCAGCTTCACGTTTCAGGGAGGGTGGGGTTTTCCTAGGAGTGTTTTGTTCAACGGGCATGAGTGTGTCATGCCGCCTCCAGATACTTACCCTTCACTTCCACGAGGAAGCAATGCGGTTTCTATATCGGGTTTTAGGGTTTCATTTGGATTGTTATCATTGTTTGTGTTCAGTGTGTGGATATTGTTATAGAGAAAAATAGCATGACATTTTTTTTTGGGTTCAGGGATTGGATGTTTGAAACCCTTACAGTAAATGTTGATTATAGATTAATTTCGCAAGGGTGTTTTGCGCATAACCCCCAAGCATTATTTGTCTCACATAAATCCTCTGTCATTTACAGGCTACATATGGCCCTCCCATGATTTATGACATTTCTTTCTCAAGATAGTTATTTACAAATTACAGGTGGGGTTGGGGACGAAAATATTAAACTTCAGAGGGTTATGCCGCAAGAGCTCACAATTTGTCGGAATGCAAAGTTAGGCCCCGTTTGTTTTGTTGTTTTTGCAAGTTGAAAGCCTGCAACAGCCTGCAAAAGTTCTGACAAAGTCAGAACTTTTGTAGCTTTCAGCTTGCAAAAGTTGCAAAGCAAACGGGGCCTTATCAATTCTCATACAATTTTGAAGTGTTTGCGAAAGAAACTCTATACAGTATGAGTTGCTCAACTCTAGTTCAAATCTTAGTGGTCACACATTTATAAAAAATTCTAAAAAATATTCTTAAAAAAAGAAAAAGAAAACCTCTATATGCATTTCAACTAATGAAGATGTTTTAGTTGAGAAGAAAATTGTTGGGCATTAGGTTGGATTGAAATTACAGGTAGCGTCATCGGGTTGGTGAGGATCTTGGATTATGTTGAGTATTGTTGCGGGTTGTTGGCGAGGCTTGAGCATTAGAGACATGCTGCTTCTACAACTTGACACCATTGTGCAGGTTTGCTCTTTGCATCCTTAACACCATATTAACTTTGAAATTTTTGATGCAGTGAGGGTGACTTTAAAAGTATCCTTTGGCACATAAACCCTCTAAATCTTGCCATGTTTACAAATTTATTCCATATTTTACATATTTGCTAATTTATCTCCAAATATTTCATGCTAATTTTATACGTCCCCTCAATTTTCAAAAGCCACTCATATACCTTAGATCAAATTGTGTATAATTAGATTGAGAGAAAGAGAGAGGGATCTCTCACTCTCTCTTTCTCTACCAATTTATCTAATTATACATAAGCAAAACTAATTATTATCTAAAACTAGTTATGTTAATCAGTGGTATATTAGTCACTGAAATCCATGGGGTAGAAAAGATCAGGGGTTAATTTCACATAATCCCCTAGATTTTAGTGGGTCCACATGACCAACCTGAACTTAGGGGGTTTTCACATAACCCCCACGAATTAGGGGTGAGTGTGGGTTGGTTCAAACCGCGGGCCGAACTAGCCCAGCCTAGATTGGTTCAAGACTCGGCCTATCCCTCAATGGGCTAGGCTCAACTCAGCTCATGGTATACCTGGACCGTGGGTCGGGCTGAGTTCCACTCTAAAGACGCGGACAAAGAAGTAGGGCCGACCCACACTCAATCCAGCCTGCATTAAGTGATAGTTACACTTTGATATAATTTTAGTAGCAACTCGATTAAAATTTGGAACTCCAGGTTGTTTGAGTTATAACTTTTAGCAATAGTAGGGATTTTCTAAGCTTTTTATTCAGTATGTTGGTGAATATTTGTAATCATTTTGATTTACTAAAAAACACTAAAATTATTGTGAAATTTTTTTGTCCTTTGAGATGTCCATCACCAGTTGTAAATTTATAAGGTTTAGCCTTTTCGAAAAGATAAAATATAAGTTTCCCTTTTAAAACTATACATACTAATCTAGCGAAAAAATTAAAAAGAAAAAAATTTGAAAAGGGAAAAAACTAAATCATACTCCCTTTAAAAGCACGAGTTCGGAAAAATCTTTCTATGGTCAGTATTATCCTTAACTTTTTTTAATATTACATTGTTATCCTAATCTATTCTAATTTTAATTATATCTTATCTAATTCCACGTGAACTATCTATAGGTTAACAATTTTAAAAAAAGTTATTTTGAATATTTTACTTAAATCTTAATCTATTCAAATACTAATTATATCCTATATTAACTCCATATGAACTACCTATAGCTCAAAAATATAGAAAAAATAGGATTATGGTCAGTATTACCCTTAGTTTTTTTTTTTGAATATTACATTGTTATCCTAATCTATTCTAATTTTAATCGTATCTTATCTAATTCCACGTGAACTATCTATAGGTCAATAATTAAAAAAAAGATATTTTGAATATTTCACTTAAATCTTATTAATCTATCCAAATACTAAGTATATCCTATATTAACTTCGTATGAACTACCTATAGCTCAAAAATATAGAAAAAAATAAGATTAAGAAATTATACGTAGATAACATATTATAATACATGAAGCATTATAAAAAAAACCAAAAGTTTCGAAAATTGCATATAATAGCCTTAAAAGTTTAAAATTACACAAAACACCTTGACTTTTTAAAACTTAAAAACAAACATGATATCTAAAAATTTAAAACTTGTAATTAACACCATCAATATTTTAAAAATTGTAGAAACAACCTTAAAAGTTTAAAGGCTAAATTATATTTATATACCTTATGTGTTTCCCTCTTGAAGCAGTTATATACCCTAAGTTACAAAATATAGCAAAAAAAAAAAAACCTGAGTTGGCAAAAATTTATAAGTTGGTACATTCTATTAACCAGCTGTGAGAATATTCTCTGGAATATTCTCACGTGCTGGACCTATGACCAACTTGAATACTTCTTACCCTCATTTACTATATTACCTAACCCCCCCCCCTCGCGCGCGCGTGCACGCAAATTAGATTATTTTCATCACCTACCCCCCCCCCCTCGCGCGCGCGTGCACGCAAATTAGATTATTTTCATCATCATCATCTTCTTTTCGTGGCCTCCAAATTCTTTTTCCTCTTTAATATGTGTAACAGTAGAAAATAAGAGCTTTCACTATGGGGGGTTAATTCCTAAAGAGGGGCATTATTATCCTTTCATGTATTTTTTAACACCGTTAGCTAAATTTAAACAGTTACCAACTCAGGATATTTTTTGCTATGTTTTGCAACTTAGGGTATATAACTACTATAAGAGTAAAACAATAGGGTATATAAGTGTCATTTAGCCATGTTTAAATTATAAAAAACATTCTAAAATTCAGAGATTTCAAAACTTAGAAATAACATAAATGGATTTTAGGGATTACCATTAGGCACATAGAAATTTAAAATTAGTAAAAAAATAACCTCAAAGTTACAAAAATTACAAAAACTCTCTCAAAAGTAAAAAAATATTAAAAAATTATAAAATTTTAAAACTTATAATTGGTACACACCAATTTAGATATTATCAGCAGATTGCTAAAAATTTAAAATTTTTAAAAAAACCACCCAAAATTTTAGTAATTATAAAATACCTTCAAATTTTTAGAGTTACGAGAAATATTATAACATTTAAAAACTTATCACCAATACATGAAACATGAAAATTATAAACGCCCAACTTAAAATTTAAAATTTTCATAAAATACTATCAAAGTTTAAAAATTACAAAACACACCCTCAAAAGTTTAAATCACAAAAAGGCTAAAATTTGGCAAAGAAAAGAGGAAATGTTTGATATTATTACATTAAGATATAATAGGTTAGCATTAATTGATTATAATGTATAAACATTTATCTCTAATATTGATAATATTTATTTATAAAGTAAAAAAAACAAAGAGTTATGTATGAAGAAACTATCAGAAAGTTCAGATATATCCTTTAAAAGAACTAAGTTGTTTTCATTTCAAATGGAGAAGTGAAGGAAATAAACTCAAAATTCAGAAACATTCATGAATCACCTGAATTGATATTGATAAAAATCATATCGAGCAAAGAAGCACTAACCGAGTTCTCTTTGAAGAACATATTGAACAATTATGTCCTAATTTAAAAAACATTATTCATGAAAAGTACAAGAAAAATTAGTAAGTACTTATAAATTTTCATACTTTATTCTAAAAATACTGAAGGAATAATAAACTTAATATAAAATTTCATATAAATAATCTTGCAATACAAACTAAAGTGAAGCCATTGATCAACTACATTGCGAGATATAATAAACTAAATAAGATGAGAAAAACCACTATAATTGACAAAAAATATGCACATGATACTTAGTTACCATAGTGTGAGTAAAAAAATTAAAATATTTTCCTTTTCTCTATATAGTGACACGACTATGCAAGTATACTTATTTGGGGATATGACTACCAACGAAAGATCAATTTTTAAGAACACGATCAAATATAAACATGTAATAGTACTGTCAGATTTCAAGATCTTTAAATATGAAGGTAACATATTTTACAACTAAAATTCTTATTAAATACCACTAAATATAAAATTCATCTTATACATGTCTCAAATTAATTTGTATGAAAGATATGCATGTCATCGTAAATTGTGTTAATAATATATCAACTTATTGAAGAAATAAGAGATAGATAAGCAAACTAAGCAAACATCCATATAACACGATAAAAAAAAATATTGCACTTTAAAACTAATATGCATGGCTCATTTAGAACAAGCTGCTAAAACGAAAACATCTCCATCAAGGCTCTTTATAAATACAACACAAATTTAGAATATTTAATATTTTTAAAAATACCTTAATTTTTTGAGTAAAATCACGAATATTTAGAAGTGATTTTCATGAACTCTTTTAATTTTTTTATATGGTTATGTGGATGCTTTTATCATATAAAAGTGTACTAGAGTTAGCATTAATATTTTTTTATGATTTTTTTCTAAAGTCTATCAATGATTAGCAATAAAATTTATATTCTCTTTAGTTTCATTCTAGCCCACTTTTAATTAATCATCTTATCTTATTAGGTTTAATTATTCATCCTTCTTTTATAACATTATCTTTTCAAGTGTTTTTCATTTTTACAACATTATACCTTCTTAAGTCAAGCTTGGTTTCATGCCGATTTAAATAACAAAAAAATTCAAATTAGCTTTAGATTATAGTTATTTCTTATCAATTCAATTATTACATGAAAATTTTAAATTTAGTGAAGCCTATTCAAACAAACATTAAAATAAATAAATAATCACAATAGAAAAGTTTGAAAACATAAGTCAGAAAAACAATTAAAGTGGAACCGAGATTAAAATTTTAGTAAAGAAATAAGTCAAAAATACTTAATCATAATATTTAATCACGTGCATTGCACGTGCATAAATCATAGTAGAAAAAAGAGTACGACCAACATGCGACCCGAACCGTCTTGCGCCGGATCCTACCCGGCCCATCCCCACGTGGACCATGGGCTAGGATTGATCCAGGCCCAAATCTAGGGACAAAATCCTTAGCTCAGCCAACCGAGGTTCGCCCAAGCCTGGGTCTAAACTGGTTCGGATCCAAAACCGATGGGATGGTTCATGGGTCAGACCCAGCCTAGCCATGCCTATCTATTTGCAAATTACATGTTGGAGGATCCTGTGAAAAAAATTCAAAGTTGAAGGTGTTTTGTGAATCACCACAAAATTTAGGAGGACCATGTGAAGTAAATGTATTTCGGAGAGGGGGTTAAGTCAAAAACATCCAACGGTCAGGGATGTCTTATGAAATCAACCACCCCCCCTCCCAAAAAAAAAAAGAAAAAAGAAAAAAATGCTTCTAGTCCCCAAAAGCTAAGAAAACATGCTTCCCACCCCTAAGACTTTGGGTGTTTTACCCCCAAAAATAAAGATTATGTTCTCTGAGCCCCCAAAACACAAAACCCAATAGATTAAAATATGTGAAGACCATAATATCCTTCTCTCTCTCTTTATTTTTTTATTAAAATATGATGAAGATTATTTTATTATTTTCATTTTCTCTCTCTCTTTATCATGATGTATTGAGATGATAGTTGAAATGATTGATGAATATTATTTTATTATTTTCGTTTTTTATTATTTTTATTGTTTATATTGGGAGATTGTTAAAGTTACGAGTTAATTGTTAAGGTTACGAGTTAATTGTTAATGTTACGGGTCAATTGTTAAGGTTATGAACCCCCCTCTCTCTATCATGATGTTACTTTGATGATATTGAAATGATTGAAGATGATTATTATTTTATTATTTTCGTTTTTTATTATTTTTGTATTTTTAGAATATTCATTGTTAAGGATAATGGCTGGTTGTAAATGTTATGCATTGATTGTTAATGTTACAGGTTGGTTGTTAAGGTTACGAGTTTAATGTTAAGGTTATGAGTTTGTTGTGTAGGTTACGGATTTGTTGTTAATGTTACAGGTTTAATTATTAAGGTTACGGGTTTAATTGTTAAGGTTACGTGTTTAATTGTTAAGGTTACGGGTTTAATTGTTACGGTTACGGTTTAATTGTTAAGGTTACGGTTTAATTGTTAAGGTTACGAGTTTAATTGTTAAGGTTATGAGTTTAATTGTTAAGGTTACGGGTTTAATTGTTACAGTTACGGGTTTAATTGTTAAGCTTACGGGTTTAATTGTTAAGCTTACGGTTTTAATTGTTAAGGTTACGGGTTTAATTGTTAATGTTTACAGTTTAATTGTTAAGGTTACGGTTTAATTGTTAAGGTTACAGGTTTAATTGTTAAGATTACGGGTTTAATTGTTAATGTTACGGTTTAATTGTTAAGGTTACGAGTTTAATTGTTAAGGTTACGGGTCAATTGTTAAGGTTATGGATCCATTCTTACTCTCTCTCTCTCTCGTAACCTTAACAATTAAACCGTAACCTTAATAATTAAGCCTGTAACCTTAACAATTAAACCATAACTTTAACAATTAAACCGTAATCTTAACAATTAAACCCGTAACCTTAACAATTAAAACCGTAACCTTAACAATTAAACCCGTAACCGTAACAATTAAACTCGTAACCTTAACAATTAAATCCGTAACCTTAAGAATTAAACCCGTAACCTTAACAATTAAACCGTAACCTTAACAATTAAACTGTAACCTTAACAATTAAACCCGTAACCTTAACAATTAAAACCGTAACATTAACAATTAAAACCGTAACCTTAACAATTAAACCGTAACCGTAACAATTAAACACGTAACCTTAACAATTAAACATGTAACCTTAACAATTAAACCCGTAACCTTAACAATTCAACCCGTAACCTTAACAACAAATTCGTAACCTACACAACAAACCCATAACCTTAACAACAAACCCGTAACATTAACAACCAACCCGTAACCTTAACAATCAATGCATAACCTTTATAAACAATTGACCCGTAACATTAACAATTAACTCGTAACCTTAACAATTAACCCGTAACTTTAACAATTTCTCAATACAAACAACGAAAATAATATAAAACGAAAATAATAAAATAATTCTCATCAATCATTTCAACTATCATCTCAGTACATCATGATAAAGAGAGAGGGAAAACAAAAATAATAAAATAATCCTCATTATATTTTAATAAAAAAAGAAAGAGAGAGAGAGAGAAGGGTATTATGGTATTCACATATTTTAATCTCTTGGGTTTTGTGTTTTGGGGGTTCAGAGAACAGAATCTTTATTTTTGGGGGGCAAAACGCCCGTTGACAAAGTCTTAGGGGTGGGAAGCACGTTTTCTTAGCTTTTGGGGGGTTGGAAGCATTTTTCCCAAAAAAAAACATGTGTGTAAGAAAATTTGCGGCAAATTAGCAGAAAAGCCCTTAAACATGTAACGCCTCTAATAACTCTCTAGTTCTGAAACTGTTTATGAAAGGAACCCCAACTTTTGAACCGCCTCCGCTTCAAGCATCTCAGGAGTTGGTGCGCGGCCCTCACCAACTGCTTGCCCAGCGAAAACTTCCCAAAATTCTCGATCCAAGCTTTGACGATGGTGCCTCGCAATCCTCCACCTCGATCTCAGCTCCTCTCCAGTGGAACCCTAGGGCTCTGTTTGCTGCTGCTGATGACGATGGCGGTGACGATGGCTGATGGCGTTCGGGGGCAATCGGCGTCCGCCTTCGTCCAGAACGCGATTTACTCGAACAAGATCACCATCTTCTCCAAATCCTACTGCCCGTAATCCCATCTCCCCTCTCTATTTCCTTTTAAAATTCGACCTTTTTTTTTTCTTCTTCTTGTGATCTTCATCGGATGAATAAGCAATCGCAAAAAGGTACGAGCTTTTGTCGCTTCTTGTAAAAATAATCGCCTTCTTCATTGACCCTTGATTAAAAAACTGCAAGCTTGACCCAATTGCTGCCTGTTGGTACCCCGATCAGTTAGAAATTACGCCCCTTTTCTCAAGATGTGGGTTTTCGTCAAGGAAATGTTCTCATTTTTTCAGGAATTTGTGTAAATGTGGGAGATAATCACTGTGAATTTTGGCAATTTTCCCTGATAAGGCTTGTAGCATACTAGAGATGGTAATGTAATGCTGTAAATTGTTGTCACGTATTAAAAATTGCATAGAAGCAGCTTCCGAGCTTGAGCAGAGTTGCAGAACAAAGGGGGAAGAACCAAATGTGAATAAAACTGGAAACTAGTTGGAAGTTAGTGTTTTACATGTGTATACTAATTAGATGCTCTGATTCATAGTGTTTATTACGCACCGTCCTGCAAACAATGCGTCGATGGATATATTTTAATGTTAAGCTATAGCTTAGAAAGCAACAAAACTTGGAGAAGTTTGGTGATACGCCCAATCTTACATTTAGGTGATTGCAAATCTGGGTTGGCTTTTGTTCTTGTTGTACCATGAGAAACGTTAGGTGAATAACCAAATGCATGAAAAAGGAGAATCAGAATTAAGCAGTAAACTAAGTACAAAGTTTTCTAATATTGTCTTCATTTCCCAGCAAGTTTGATGGATTATGTTTATGGGGAAAATCTTCAAGTAAACATTATTAGCACTTAATAATGAATAAAACTCTTAAGCTATATCTATGCGGTTAGCAGTCATTGTTAAACTGTTAGTCTGTTACTTTAATGGGGCTTTGGCTCAGTCTATGATGTTTTGCACACTGTTACATAGAGATATATACATAAAGGCACACATGCACGTGTGCTCACGCACACGTATTATATAGTAAATGGGGGCTTGTGTGTCTTCACAGTGTCTGTTGGTGTCACTGACGTGGCTATATTCAAACTGATAACTATGATTTGAGTGTGTTGATGATCTGAACTGAGTGGCCTTGATGTGTGCTACATGAGCAACAGATAAGCCAACGATGTGGAGGGACACACAAGCCCCCGTTTACTCATATGTATCGGAAAAGGGAGTACTGTCGCAAGCGTTTTCTAGCTAGTGCATTGCTGATGTGGCAACACACCAATTGTTGTAGATAAGATGTGAGTGAGATTTGAAGAAAGTGACTGTAGTTTTACCCAAAAAAATAAACCTTTGTCATTCTAACCTGACTGCAGCTTCTCTTCCTCACATGCTAATTGTCTCCCTCTTCTCAAGAAAAAGACCCCAATTCTCTT